ATTTTGGATTTCGTCTTGGATAGCGAAGGAATAATTTTCCGCAAAATCGCCGACGACAACAAATTCATCAGGTCCTACATTTTCTTTAGAATATTTAAAAAAGCTGCTTTGACTTCTTGCAATAAAATCGTGAAATTGCAACTTTGGTAATCGGATTTCTAATTCATCTACAAACTGTGTTGCTGTTAACAATGTACATTTTGAATTCAACTCAAAAGAAGAATATAAGGAACATTCGGAATTCTTGCTGGAAAGACGTGAACTGGCTACAACAATCTGTGGAACACTTAATTTTCATTCATTTACTCCAACCAAAGAAGTAACACATTTAACTGCCCGAATTTATTCAGACAGTGAAAAATCAAAAGTTATAGCTATTATGAAGTAAGTAATTTTATAACAAACAATTTAATCCGGTAGATGATCATTGGTACAATCCAACCATTATTTCTTAACCAGAACCTAATCCCATCACATCCCATCATATCCTATCCCACTAGAACATTGAACATCCTATCCCATTGAATATTGACAACTTAAATGTGTATAATGCTAAGTGTCATTGGCAAAGAGTGAGTGTCCAATAACTGTTACATTTTCCAGCAGTCCAACACCCTATGTATAACAATAGCAGGTATAGGTGCTTGGCGGTTGCAGGCACTGCGCGACTTGGCCGGTCGAGCCAGCGTGCCACGACGCGACGCAGCGTTCCATTCAATTAATTTTTATAAGGCCAATTTTAAAGTGTCCGTATTTTTAAAACTTGGTCCGTGAAGGGGACAAACAGGACTATATGCCCATTTTTTTCAGATTTTTAAATATGTCCCCGCTATAAAAAAATGACATTTGTTGTAAACAATTGCAATATAAATAGTCAAAAAAATTTTTTTATTAATTGAAATAATTTTTATTTGATACTCCCATGGGTCTGCTACAAGTACCTAAGATTTCATTTTTATAACTTCTTTACTTTAGCAGCTATTATTTATTGAAAAAAAGGGAGCTCTATATTTCAAACAGATGTAAAACCAACAATTTTAAAAATTTTTAAAAATCCTTCGAGATACGTTTATATATCACTAAAGACTACAACATATTCAAAGTAGAACAAAATCCGACATGGTACTCCGAAAAGTGTCCGATTTCGCATGGAATGACCCTATTGCGACTTGCTGAGTCCCTGACGGTTGTAATATGACGGTCTTCCTCGAGAAGTGAATCTAGAATAGGCCTTAAATGATCATTTACTTGCCCTTGTTGACACATCCCGAAAAGAAGTATACTAGGGGCAGTCCCAGTAGATTTGCATAGTGTGTTATTTAAGGCGTATTCTATTTCCGCAAGAACATGACACCAATCTTTCGGCGTTTTCGACAATTTCGCCAACATAGGTGTTATCACCCGGTTATACCTCTCCACTTGCCCATTTGCCCGAGGAGTTCCTACCGCTATTAACGTATGGGATATATTTTCCCCCTCCACAAATTCTTTAAATGCGTGAGAAGTGAAACAACTCCCACGGTCGCTGATAATACGACGAGGTCTACTTAGATTTCTAAAATAGTCGCGAAGATGCTTAATGACTTCATCCGTTTTCGTCGATTTGCATGGAAAAGTCTTATAAATTTCGTAAACGCATCTACGACTGACAGAATAAATTTATACCCTTGACCACTTCGTTCTAACGGTCCGAAATGGCCAATATGTATTGTTTGAAATGGCAAGTTGCCCTTCGGTATACTATTTAAGTAGCCTTCTTGGCGTCCCTCGAGTGGCGAAAACTCAATGCATCTCAAACAATTTTTAATGTAGGTTCTTATTTTTTCCCTCATTTTTGGAAACTATTAAACTCTAATGATCGCATCCAAGACTTTTTCCATGCTTACATGGCCCAAATCGTCGTGGCACGATCTTATGACGCGTTTCTCCATACATTCGGGTACGTAAAATAACAATTTATTGTTCCTAACTTTCCGATATACTAATCCGTCTCTTAGTTCAAAGAATTTATCCTCCGCGAGCTCTAACGACTTTCGAATCTCGGAAATCTTTAAATCTTGATTTTGTTTCAGTGCTAGTACTTGTTCGAACGTGTTTGCTTCTAATATTAATAAGCTATGGCATCTACTTAATGCACCTACGTGATTCATTTTTGCATTTGATCTGTGTTCTAGTTCATAAGTGTAATTTTGTAAAAATAGGGCCCACCGGTAAATTCTTGGGTTTACGCTTTCTTTACTCAGTGTTAATCGGAAACTGTCGCAATCAGTAATGATCTTAAAGGGAATTCCGAATAAATATATGTGAAACCTTTTTATGGCTTGTACGACCGCTAAACATTCTAATTCGAAGCTATGATACTTCGATTCCGGCGAAGTAGTTCGTTTACTAAAATAAAATACCGGCCTTAAGAGACCGTCTGCTTGTTTTTGCAACAGTATCGCGCCGAAACCAGTAGCACTCGCGTTGCAATGTAACTCCGTTTTCAAACTTGGATTGTATATCGCTAACACCGGACTATCCGATAAACAATTTTTTAAGCATTCGAACACTTGGTTTTTTTCCGGTCCAAATCGAAAATTAACGTCTTTTCTCAACAGATCGTATAGGGGTTTAGCAATGACGGAAAACGCTTTAATAAATCGGCGAAAATAACTTGCTAATCCCACAAACTTATGTACTTTTTTAACGTTTCGCGGGATAGGATATTTCAAGACTGATTCTACATTTTCTTTACTTGGCTGAAGGCCACTGTGATTAATTATATACCCTAAATATGTAATCTCTGTGTTCAAAAAAAAAACATTTATCTAGTCGAAATTGTAATTTAAATATTTTAGCTAAACAAAAAATATCGCGTAATAATTCTAAATGTTCATCTATTGTTACCGTAGCTACCAAAATAACATTTAAGTATAAAAGAATACGATTCTCTCTAATCAATTTGAGAAAAATTTCGATCAAATAACGTTGGAATACTCGGGGTGCATTTGTTAAACCAAAAGGCATCTTTGTGTATTCAAATTGCCCCAGAGGGGTGACAAAAGATGTTTATTTTACCGAATTTTTGGACACTTTAACATGGTGGAAACCGTTTCGAAGATCAAGCTTTGAAAAATATTTTTTCCCACTCAATTGATCTAAATGATCGTCAATTAGCGGTGTAGGGAAATTTTCTTTTATTGTTACTTTATTGATCTCGCGATAGTCTACACATACACATAAGCGTATATCGCCAGTTTTTTTGCGAACTAAGACGATTGGACTCGCAAACGGCTAATTGCTAGGCCTTACTATGCCTTCCTTTAACAAATTGTCCAGAATCGATCGCAATTTTTCCTTATCGCTAAAGGCCAGTCTCCGCGGGCGGAAACTGATTGGATCTTCCGTTTTTAATTTAATTTCTAATTCCATAGGACAACTTGTTTCGGGAGCGGCATCAGCGTTTACATATTCTTGGTCATATAGTGTTTCTAATTTTTTAATCGCGCTTGGACATTCTACCCTGATTCTTAACTCGGTTGTGGCGTTCGTAGAATTATCTGAATAATCTATTTGGAGAATTTGTTTTTCGAATTCTACTTTCAACGGTCCTTCGACCTCTTGAATTTTAAATTCTCGACCCAGGGTGATAGTTATTTGTGGTTTTAATATGTAGTCGCGTCCTAACAACGCTGCATAGGTGATCGTTTCGTCGGGAACAACTAAAAATTTGACACGCATGTCGACCCCATTTATTTTCATTTCTCTATCGAATACTCCTCGGATAATTAGCGGTGTATATTTTAACCCGTGAAGCGATTTTCCGGCCATTTGCACAGGCGTACACAGTTCAGACGGAACAAAACGCATCTTAATTAAGCTTACTGGTGACCCGAAATCGATGACTGCGGAGAGGGTATAAACGTGTGTTATATTACCTTTGTCTGGAACTGTGAACTCTACCGGTACTACGAACGGGGTGTCCGGGGATGTCGGCTGAACTAGACCAGTAGTCTGCGTTGTGTGTGCAGATTCCCGGTGCGACGTCTCGTGCTGGGCAGTTGCATTTTGTGGACACTTGTTGGCCCGATGCGTTTTGCTCCCACACTTAAAGCAGCTTCCCCATTCCTTCGGGTTGCGGCAGTCCTTCTCCAGGTGTTCCCTTGCTTGGCAATTGGTACAGCGAAACTCACTGCGGCGACTAATTTGGCTGCTCCCTTGCCGCTTCTCCGCTGGTTTCCTTGCGTCTCGTCTCTCTCGCTCGCCCTTCGAATTTTGAAGGGTCAGCTTGGAAAACGCCTTCACTATTGCTTCTGGGGATGTGAAGCAGTGCATGCATGCCTGGTTTTGCAGATCGGTGTTCGGTGTAGTCCGGTTTCTCCTACGGTTTCGTCCGCAATGAGCGAATCGTCCCCAGACTGTTCTTCCATTGCTTCATCGCCCGTATGATTTAGTTCTTCAACAAGTTTATCAATGTTCCGGAAGTCTTCGTGCCCGAAGCAAAGTCTTCAATTCGGCCACAGTAAAGTCGACTAATGTTTCTTTGAGTCCTGCTGGCATCTTGATACTTATTACAAATCACCTCAACTAACTTCCTTACTCAATGTCTTACTAAAATTAGGTAAGATTGTCAGAATACACGACGCGGTTTTAACTTCGCAAATCGTATAAATGATTCAGGATCCCACTTCTGAGTTTTGTAAGGACTTAATGGATTGAGGGATTAACCATTTCGGTACGGCGCCTATCTGCCACGAAACGTTGCCCATAGCCGGCACTCACCGTCCGCACACTGCCTCGTTCATCGACAGATCTGTGATGAGATAAGATTTGAAATACTGAAAGCTTGTTTTACATTACAGGCGGCATGTAATGTAAATCAAGAGATCGCATGTTTTTATTACGATATTTCTAAATGTTGACAATTTTATTTTGATAAATGAAAAATTAGAAAATTTAACTTAAAATTATTGTTTTATTTTATTTATATTGTAAGTTTTTAAATATCACAATAAATGTTATTGTTCGGTGTAATACATTTCGAAACATGGGACTACACATAAGCCAACATTGCATTTTTTACAATAATATCTAGTACTACGCCTTTTGTTATCCATTGAACACACAATACATCTTCTCATTGGATTTTGCCTTTTTGTTTTATCACTACTGTAAAGCGCTGGAAAATGTCTTTCCTTGAAACGCATAAGATATGCTGACGGATTACCAGAGTTGTATTCCCGCGATTCCGAATATTTCTTTAAAAGTTCTGTTATTAACGCTAAATGATAATTAGACATTGATATATTCTTTTTCGTATTAAATTTATATAAACAATACGCATTCCATATTGAAATATCTAGTAAATGAAAAAAGAATTTCTTGTACCATTTCAGCGTTTTTCTTGTGCATGAAATCGTACTAATGATTGCGTCGCTTTTGTCAACTGTGCCCATTGAGTTGCTATAATCTACAACACATGAAGGCTTTTGAATCTGTTCACCCGTTTGGTAATTTTTCTTTTTACAATCTTTATACTCTACTGAATGGCTAGTGGACAACATCCAAACTTCGCGTTTGTTTTGCCATTTCAGTGCGAGCAGATTTCCTGATGATCTAAAAGTAAACTCTCCTGTCTGTAATTTTTCTGGCATTTTAGGCATACCTACACGTCGCTTTCTCACTGTCCCACATGCGTTTGTTGCAAAGCTGTGTAAATATTCGAACAGCGCAGGACTCGAATACCAGTTATCTACGAATAATTGATGGCCTTTTTCTAAATAAGGTTGCATCAATGTTGCAACAATATTGCCAGCTTTACTCAATTTTGCAGAAAATGCTTGCATCTCGGATGTTGAGCCGGTGTAAACAATTACATCTAAAACGTATCCTGTTGGGATCCGGGTGAGAAATGTACACTCCGGACACATACAGACCGACACGGAAATAACAAATTCGAATGACCGCTACCGCAATAGGGTTGAAAGGAAAAAAGGCGCTGACTCTAGTGATGCTGGTCCTTATATATTAGGCTTTTCGCTGAGGAGGGGATGTCGGTGACCCTTAGTACCTGATGACTGGCTGCCGATGACTCGTCCTGGATGAGACATTTGTGTACTTCGTCCAGGCTTCTGTACTTACAGTAGAAATGGGAAAAACAAGACTGACTCAGTTATTTTGGACGCAGCGGTTCCGATACGCTTATCAGCATCGAGTCACCAGGTTGGTCATCCAACACCTCCCCCCTTTTTTTATTTTTCGGCAGCGAATATGAAACTTAAAAATACAATTTCTAAAATTAAGTTGTATAATTGAAGTCGTTCTGGCGGTACGGTGTAGAGTCTTAATTTAGTTGGGTTAGTGGTCAACTATCTTGCTATACTTAAATAAACAAATTAATCTTAACGTACAAATACCTTACCATCTAGTAAATAATTAGGTTAACTGATACAGTGAATATTAGTTTCAAAAAGGAGGAGAAAAAAGAATACATTAATACATAAATTCGCATTGCTATATTACAATGGTGTAGTACTTTTGCGCGATCTTGTAGCGCGGCTGGCATTGCTACGAAGATTATATCGTGATGATGCAGGTGTGTGTTGTTGACTTTGCCCGGCGTCTTCTTCCGTGGAAACTGGATTTCCTGGTATTCGTACTCCTTCTTGAACATCGTATAGGACGATATCCCTGGACTCCTCCCGGTATTCAGTACGAACATCTGAGTCGAATGTACAATTAATAAAATTCTAAATCATAGGTGAGACAATGTCGCCATTGGTTGAGTTTTTGGTGAAGCAAAACAGTCTCTGAAGGAGTTTCCAGCATCCGTAGTGCCGACAACAATTTTCACACACAAATAGAATTAGTATCGCGGCTATCACACACAAGGCTATTGTATACCACTGTGTGTGTGTTACGATGAACGGTTCTTTTAACCGTTGCGTTAACAAATCATCGAATTCGTTAATCTTTTTCCTGGCGTACTTGAGATCATTTAGATCTATATTTGTTAATTTTATTGGTTTTAATTCTACGGATTGTATTTTTGCAATTTCGGAAGTGATGCAGCAATCGCTCCCAACTATGCTTACTGGAGGAATATAATGGGTAAAGTTCTTATTTGTGTGACTTGCAGGTTCCAAGAGATATAGCATGGTGTAACCCTTGCAGTTATTTCGCAGCTGCAGTACTCCGGTTTGGTGTAGGATGATGATTTCCATTTGGTCCTTTTCTTCTTCGCAGATAATCGTGACGGTTATTGGTTTCTGCAAGATGTAGATCCACTGATTTCCTCCTATATACACTGGTGGACAAAATGATAAGGCACCTCAAAATTTTTGGAAATGATCATCTATTTGTACATATACGTGGAATATGAATACACAACAAAATAAGGTACTAGTTTTGACATAATATATGAAAAAATTAAATAAATCGTTCAATCCATTTATTATTTATACCAAGAAAATGAAATTGAGTGTGGACAAAATTATAAGGCACTTTCAATATAAAATTACAAAAGTATTAAAATGAAATAAGATTACATAGTTTTTTTAAGTTTTAATAATGTGTCGACTGCCCTTGACGATGTACCACTTCAATCATTCTTCTTGGTAAACTTCTGTACAGATCCTTTATATAATTTTGATCCAAGCTTTCCCAAGCTTCTAAAATTGCAGATTTTAATTCGGACACTGTATTATACTGTTTTCCACCTTCATATAATGTTCGGCTGAGTTTCCCCCAAACATTCTCGATAATACTTAGGTCAGGAGATCTTGCGGGCCAATTTAAAACCTTTACATTTTCCGTTTCAAAATAATTTTTTACTATGCGAGCGGTATGCACAGCTGCATTATCTTGCTGAAATATATATTTTGTCCCAGCAATTCTGCGAGCGTAAGTGTCTATGTGTCTCTTAATTAAATTTAAGTAACCAGCACTATTCATACGGCCTTGAATGAATTCTATTTCCGTTTTTCCTCTATAGCCGATACCTGCCCATATCATTACTCCACCACCACCACATTGTCTGCGACTTAATACCCTTTGCTCCTTTCTTAAATCGTGGAAATAGTATTTATATCCATCTGGACCATCCAAATTCAGTTTTTTTTCATCCGTGAATATAATTCGTTTCCACTGGTTTTTCCATTGAATGTGCTCTATTGCAAAACTTAATCGGGCGGTCTTATGTTTGTCTGTTAACGGCGGCTTTATAGTAAATTTCTTCCGTTTTAAATAGCTTGTTTTTTGAATTACTCTTTTCACTGTTTTAGTCGATACGTTAACTCCACAATCCACTGCAATTTGTCGAGGCGTAAGTCCAGAATTCGATGCTTTTTTCAAAATTAATCTTTTTTCTCTTGAAGAAAGGGCTGCAGGTCTTCCCTTTGACTTCTGTTTCCCATATTTTTCGGGGTTTTGTAAAAAATTCTGTATAACACACCGACTTCTTTTTAGTTTTTTTGCAATCTGTACTTGATTTTCTCCATTAGACTTTAACTGGAGTATTTTAATCTTCTCATCTTCGCTTAATGCTGTTCCTCGTCCCATAATTTAATTTTGGGTTAAAAAGTATTTAAACACTTATAAACTAACTATTAATAAGTAATTTCTACAAGATAAACTTGCAGAGAACTGCACACTTCAACGTTTTCTAACAGACTACTTCAAGTGCCTTAACATTTTGTCCACCTGAAATTTCGAAACAATGAAACTCAAAGACCACAATGCACCGTGTTTTGTTTGTCTAGACTGGTACGTGGCCTTGAAAGGAAGTTTCTCACTTATAACATAGTTTACTGCTAATAACTTTAAGATTTTACTAAATACATCTGGAATTTCTTATGTGTACAACGGTGCCTTATCATTTTGTCCACCAGTGTATTTCCAAGTTTCTATCTCAGCTGGGATGGTCCTTGTCTCGCAGTCATCAGGAAGCTGGTTTATGTGAGGTGACAGTAACGAAACCTCGCAGGTGGCTTGGTCCGTATTTTTCGAGGTGTGGACGTTTGCGCATACGTACATTCCCTCCAAATACTCGTGGCATTCCGACAAGTCTGATAGGAAGGAAAAAAGGGTTTTGAATTGGGATAAGAGTAAATATGGTTGTTTTGGCATGATGTAGGAAAAGGTTGACGTATTTTGGTGCTGAATGGGAAGCGGAATTAGTTGGTATACGTCAAAGTTTGTGGTTTTTACGAGTGGGAAATTTAAAGCAAATACAACAATTCCGTTTTTAGAAAATATTTTTGAAGTGGTTGCGTGTGAAGATAAGAATGGGTCTTAAATGCAATCGCCAAGTTCGCCTTGTACTCTTTATTCTGAAGGTGTTGTTCACTGGGTGTCGTGGCGAAGACTGACTTCTGTACAAAATAACTTTTTTCTCGAACTGTTTGCAGTCGCCTAAGTGGTTCAACCGATGTGTCGAAGTTAACCAATTAAGCATCTTGCAATTCCGAAGTCATCGCCTACTCCTTGCGCCCTTGACGCGCTTTTTGGGAAAGGCGATGTGACCCGGTGGGGGTAGCTTTGTCGGCGGAAGTTTGGCAATGCAGCGGAATTTCCTCCAAGTCCAGGCCTGGTGATGTCACCCGCCGAGGGTCGCTTGACCTGGCGTTGCAGCCCTTCGGAAATCCCTGGTTTATGACATGTGCAATATGCCACTGAGGCCGTTAGAAATCTTCGACGAAAAACATGCTGGCTAATAAAACTCGTAAGAAACGGCTTTCTCAAAAGTGGCCTTTTCGACTTTGCTTGTCGTAAACCATGCTAGCATTTGCACGCCAAATGTTTCTTTTATTGTGCGAGCTAGCCGCTACATTTTCAAACTCATTAACTTAGAAAGAATTGGCAAATTTTGTACGTTTGCTATTATCGGTAATTCAAGGTTTCCTTTATAATTATTTAATTCTTCGCATAGTTCTTTCGGAGTTACGACAAATGGCGAAACTATTTGATGGTTGCCTAAGTTGATTGATTCTATGTATTTATTATATTCAGCAGAGATACGCATGCAAAGAGAAAGAAGCATTGTAGCATGTCGTGTAATTATTGATTCTAGAGATAGGCGCGCTAGATATGCATTGGTTTCTGAAGTATATTTGTTAATTAATCTTAAATTATTATTTAGTGTAACTTCAATGGTTTTCAAAGATTGTAATGAACTGTTGAAATTTTTTATGGTGCTTGAAATAATCTGAATTTGCGACTTTAAAAGAGTTTGTGTTTGTTTGTTATCGTTTATCAACATTTTAATACTGTCTGAATAGTATTGGGCATCGTCTGCATCTGGTGTTCCGATTAACCAGTTTAGTATGATGGTTACCCCGTTGATTAGACCTCTACGTTTACGTTCCTTGGTATTGCCAATTAAATCGTGCAAGATGTCTTGGTTTTTACGTATGCTTCGCAATTCGTCCTCGATAAGTTTCAAAGTTTGATCGCAATGAAAACTGGCATAATTATGCTCCGCAGGATCTTTCAATGCAATGGTACATAAGTTTTGCGATTTTATGAAATACGATTCTAGGATGTCTTTTGCTTCGGTTAAATAAATAACATTAATATGTGTTAAGAGAGTTAATTTAGAGTTTGATATTTTTGCGATACCCTTTTTGTTGTAAAATATTCCGCTTGAGTGAGAGAGAGGAGTATTAATATAAGGGTTACTAACGGAGAGATTAGGAAGAAGAATTAGTAACAGGATTGTCGGAATCATCTGAAATGTATGGTTTTAAGAGATTAGTATGATATTTATAACTTTTCTTCCCTATTTGAATTTCGACAGTGTGATTGGGAAATATTTTTGTAATTTTGAAAGGTCCCTTAAAGTTAGGTGCGAGTTTTTTATTTAGTCCCTTCTTTATTTGTTTTTGATATATG